AAAGTTTTGAACCAATAATACTCCTGCTACAACTACTACTACTACTACTGCTAATAATAATAATAATTCTAATATTTGTAGCCACCAATGGATTGACGCACGGCGTCGCGCGACTCCATTGTGGGATGCCGCACGATTATTTATATTTCTCTTTTGTTATAAGTGAATCTATGTGTCTATGGATGGCCAGAACAGAAGCGCAGCAAATCCCCCACGCCAGCGTCGCGCGGCACCTGACCACTGTGTGCTCTGTGAACCAATCTGGCTCTCACTGCATCAAAAATTGGCAAACCCTAAACGCCGCGCGGCACCCAGAGTTAGTGGTTGTGGTACGCGCGGCGCTGGCACGTGTTGTCGCGCGGCGTCTGGGGGTCTGGGACTGGCTCCAGAATGCGTATGGATGATTAAACACTATGAGTGTAGGGAAGCCTGCAGGATTGGCCTGGGTAGCACAGAGGTGCCGGGCTGGATAAGGTGGCCCAAGAAAGGGTGCCGCGCAGTGTGTGGGGCACTGGGCAGGAGCCCAGGAAGGTTGCCGCGCGGCACCCCTGGGTGCCGCGCGGCGTGTGGGACACTATCACTACTGATTAGTGCCACTACTACCGCTACTAGTACTTCTTCTTTCAATATTTTACTTTTAATAGCTATAATTATTAATTACTACGACCATACTAGTACCCTAGTAGGTTAAATTATTATTATTACTACTATTATTATTAATGAAACTTATTAAAAAATTATTACACTACTACTACTACTACTCCTACTACTACTACTACTACTACTACTACTACTATAACTACTACTACTACTACTACTACTACTACTACTACTACTACTACTACTACTACTACTACTACTACTACTACTACTACTACTACTACTACTACTACTACTACTACTACTACTAACTACTGCTACTACTACTACTACTACTACTACTACTATCATACTACTACTTACTATTAATTAATTACTGCTACTGCTACTACCTTCTATCTATTACTATTAGCACCGCTACTCCTACTACTACTACTACTACTACTACGTATTAACATTACTTACTAGTATTATTGCGACTATTTATAACGACTAGTAGTAGTAGTACTACTACTACTACTACTACCACTACTACTACTACTACTACTACTACTACTACTACTACTACTACTACTACTACTACTACTACTACTACTAACTACTAACTACTACTACTACTACTACTACTACTACTACTACTACTACTACTACTACTACTACTAGTACTTCGTGTACTACTACTACTACTACTACTACTACCACTACTACTACTGCTACTAATAATAATAATAACTACTACTACTACTACTACTACTACTACTTCTATTTCTACTTCTACTACTTCTAAACTGTTTCTATTACTACTACTACTACTACTACTACTACTACCATTACTATTATTATTAGTCCTGCTACTGTCAAATCAAAGCCCTATTCGTTCTGAGATATCAGACCATAGCCCCAACCATGATGATGTCCAGGGTCTAATAGTACAGCCAGAGCTATTAAATTAAGTGGCCCAGCCCAGCCAGGACAGATCCATGGTCTAGATAGTTCGTGTCGAGAACAGAGCATCCATGGCCCAAGCATGATGACGTCAATGGTCTCTACTGACTACAGAACAGAGCATGCTGTCCCAACATGATGACATCCAGGGTTGAAAATGTTCTGAGATACAACCATCCATGACTTCTAGGATCTGATTTCACTCTGAGAACTGAGAACAGAGCATCCAACGGTCTAATTCTGCTCTGAGAACAGAGCACATTGTGACATGTGGCCCAACCATTATGACGTCAGTGGAAAAATGCGTTCTGAGAAATCAGAACAGGGCCCAACCATGATGACGTCCGGGGTCTAATCCATTCTGACTCCGACAACATGGCCGCACCGTGAGCAACTTAAACCCACTCTGTGATTACCGTGACAGCCAGACAGTACCTATTATAACCTAGGAATCCAGAAACCAAAGACGCTGTGACCTAAATCCGTTGCTGCTCAGTTTGACTGTCAGTCAGGGTTGCTTTGGTAATCAGGGCTGAGTTTCCCTGTTTGAATTGAGTCATTGGGGCCACCAGGGTTGAATTCAAGTTGAGACCGTAGACTTCTATCGCCTGGGTAAATGCAGTGGCAGCTTAGGATTCGTAGAATCAGAAAGCACATCTATCACCGTGCCAGGCTTCGCCTCTACAGCCGAAGAGTCAAGGCCTGTGCAGAGCAGCTTTGCTTGCCACGCATGTCTGCAGTTGCAGGAGTTGTGCAAGTATTCAGAATTCATTCTGCAGAAGCCAGCGTCAAGCATTTCTACGGTTATTGACTAAAGACACAACTGCTGTGTCAGTCAGTCAGAGTATAATCAGTCAGTGCTTGCACACTGAAACTGTTGGTGAAATTAGCTGTCAGAGCCACCTCCGCTGCTATGGATGCCATTGTGGAAGCCCCCTGTTGTGAAATGGTCCTTGCGGTATCCTCAGAGTCAGACACGCCCCATGAGAAGTTCCGAAGTACACCTCACAGCCACGGACTTAGAGTCGATCCTCTGCGTTTCGCATCAACCTGGACCTTCATCATTGAAACTTTGCTGGACTTGACCAAGAAATGATCTGATCCGTAATTCTCTGTCTTGCTATCAGTGTGCGCATTGCTTCCTAGCAGTCCTGAGTAAGGACCCCTCGCTGCCACATGAGCCCATGCCTGACAATGAGAGTGTCAGCGTCCCATTGCTGAAACAACCACGACTGTTGAATGCGCTTGGGACTTTGCGTGCCGCACTTGCACTTATCAGTATACTGTATACCTTACATGAATGAATGCATTGAGAGCATGTGAAAATTTACCAGACATCCCGTGCCTGAGGCTGTTTCCGAACCACGGCAGTGGCCAACACCCGGTACCTGTCCGAGCGAGGGTCAGGCGAACTTCAGCATTGCACTTATTATTTAGATCTATTATCTATTTATTATTAATTAAGTACTCAACCTGGCAAGCCCCATCCTCTTCAGTCTCACAATCCCAGGATATGGCCACCCAGATTTATTGGAGCCGGGAATACAACAACGCACTGGCTGAGTTGGGTGAGCAAGCGCCAGAGAAGGGTAAATTTTTGTCACCTGAGTTTGGCGAGTGGGTGTCTGGCAACTTGACTCACATAGTGCTGTAGCAGCTTGGATTCTGGGCAGCAAGTCACAAAACGAGAGAGTCAGAGAGACAGGTAAACAAAAGAACAGGCCAAAGACGGACAAACGGACGGACAGAGAGAGAGAGAGAGAGAGCAAGGCATCCTGGACCCTGATTGGGTAGAGCAAAAAGAGAGTGAGAGAGAGAGAGTGAGAGTGAGTGAGTGAGGGAGTGGAAGGCCAGAAAAGACAACACCATAGCGCTTTGATTTAAGTGTGCAGTGTCTGTGCTGCAGGCATGCCCATTGGCTGGACCGATCCATCTGTTGCAGTGTCACCAGACAGTCTGTTACGTGTTTGCCCGTGGCTGGCGTCAAGGGTATCTTGGAGGCAGTATGTGGTTGCGTGAACAATCACTGAAAGAGTCAGTCATCAAGGATATGATGGATCAACAGCTTTGGGCAACAGTGTCAATGTTTAGTGGCGTTGGTGGCCTGGAGCTTGCCCTGCTTGGGCTCCAGCCTCAGGTCCGTTCCTCCAGAGTCAGACCTGGTTTTGACTTTGGCAATTTGGAAATTAATGAATACTGCAGTGTCAGGTTCACAGAGTCAGTGCTCTGGGTTGAGAGCAACGAGCACTGCCAGAGTGTCCTGCGCCGTCGAATGGAGGATGGTTGCCTAGTGCATGCTCCTATTCTGGATGATGCCAGCGTCATTGCAGACTTCTGCCAGACGAACAGGCTTCAGGCTGACGGTGTCACAGGTGGATTTCCATGCCAAGGGACAAGTTCAGCAGGGCAGCGTCAAGGGCTGAAGGATCACCGCACCAGTCTGGTGTCATACCTGTTCACCTGCTTCGACAGCGTCAATGCGCTGGAGCCTTGGTCAGTCAGTGTCAGCAACAGCGCACGTGATGACTATGTTGTGGGGTTGTACCAGTGTCATTGCAGGTGGTTCATGATACTTGAGAATGTGAAGGGCCTGTTGTCAAAGTCGATGTCGAGCGTCATGGACTATCTGCTTCGAGCCATTGGCATGCAAGCTAGCAGCCTGGAGAAGGTCATTGTCATGGCAATGATGACAACTAAGGAAGCAGAGTCACGCAATATGCAGGTCAGATGGGTGTCAGGGTCAGGCTTTTCAGTGGGTGCTCCTGTCAGCATCTCAGAGTCTCAAACATAATAAACTCTTTCTAGTTCTCTGAGCGTCACAACCAGGTGAGACGGCAGCGAGTCTTCATGGTCATGTGTCAGCGCAACTTTGCATGCCTCAAGGCTGGGCCGGCTTGGTCATGACATGACATGGCAAGTGTTTCCAAAATTTGAGACCCTGCTATGATTCTGAGGCTTTGGCGCCAGAGTCAGAGAAGTCCCTGGCAGAGCCAGAGAAACACTGGCCAAAAGCACCTTCCATACCAACGTGGATGGCTACCAGCCAGAGTCACGTAGATCAAGCACGCCTGCACAGCCTTGGCAACATCTGCATGCCAGGTGTAGCACATTTTGCTTTGCAGTGTATGCTATCTTCCATACCATGAGAGTCAGAGGGTTTTCCCAACTTGGCATCACCCCGTGTCATTGATGATTAGCTCCAGGAGACAGTCTCTGTGTCATCTGTGAACAAGTATGCCAAGGGAATGCTTCCTCATTATAGTGCAATAGATTTGGCGCTGCCAGGTTCAGAAAATGCGTGTTGCTGATGTCAGTGTCCTGGCGCCGTGCTGTGTTTGTGGAGAATCGATACAGTATATTGTCAAGTGTGTCGTGTTTGTCGCAGACAGTGTCGGCTCATCAGGAGGCGCAGGGGGTGCGCTATTCAGAGCCACTGTCTCGTCAGTGTCAGTGTCATGGCTAGCTGGCAAGATCTTCCGCAGAAAGACCTTATGAAACTTTGCAAGGAGGCTTTTGACGACATGAAACAGCGTCGGGAAGAGGAGGAGAAGAGTCTCACCTTGCAGTTGGAGGAGGACTGTGAGAAGAAGCGTCAGCAACAGCAGCAGAAGAGTCGGCCACGTGCCAAGACCGCGGCCAAAAGCAAGACCTCTGCTCCGGCGACATCAGAGTCAGAAATGGCTGTTGCTCCTTTTCCTGCCCCTGTTTGTGAAAACACAGAGTCACGAGGCAGAAAGAACCCGAGTACCAAGGGCCAGAGTCAGAAACTGGCTGCCAGCCAAAATTCAGAGCCTCGTCAGAAGAGAGCTAGGGTCAAGAAAGACAAGCCAGACAGCGAGCTTACCGGGGCTTTAGTCCCAGCTGCTCCAAAGCAGCCGCAGAGGGTCAAGGAAGAGCCTGGTAATTCTGTCGTCCTAGTGGAGACACCCAAACCTGAGAAGAAAAGAGGAAGGCATGCACCAGGGTCACGGCCAATGGCGTACAAGAAGCGGAACCACGCCTTGGTTTATTGCTGAATGTTTGCTTGTACGTCAGTGTTTGCTTAACTAGACAATCCCCTGTTCAGCTTGCAGCTCAGGAAAGAGTACAAGAGCGTCAAGGCGTATGAGAACATGAGAAACTTCCTGGACGTGCTGCAGCTGGTTTCATCATGTTGCATCATGAATTAGCATTAATTGGACAGTTTTCATGTCCATCATAGCTGACTGAGGATTTCCTCCGCAAGATTTTGCTGACCAAGAAGCACACAAAGCAAAGCGACAGCGTCAGCATTGGGGCTAAGTCAGCACCGTTTTGAAACGGTGCTGCTGTTATTCATTTATGTCTGACTTGACACAGCCGCCAATAGAGCGTCAACTGCTCAGCATGGGGTTGCGTGGTGAAAAACAGGCTTTTCAGCTTCACGATTGAATGTTGCATTGGCTGTTGCTCCTTCCATTACTAATAAATTATACCATTTGCTCACCTGCCAGGATTCCTGCATCATCCAAAGGCAGAGAACAAGCTGCGCCCTCAGTTTGTGTTGAGAGATTGCACAGGGGACAGGGCCAAGGGGGTGGGGTGGTGGGGTGGGGTGGTGGCAGGGTGGGGGGTGTGGGGATGGGTGGTGCACCAGGGGCTGGGGGGTTGGGAGGGGAGCGTGGGGGCCAGAAGGGGGTTCGTGGGGGGTTCGTAGGGGGGTTCGTGGGGGGTTCGTGGGGTTCGTGGGGGTTCGCGGCGTTGGCGGTGTGGGGGCTTCGTAGGGGTTCGCGGGGGTTCGCGGCCCGAGGTTTGGGGGCAGAATTCTGGGGGACAGGTCCGGCCTTCCTCTTTCAAAAGGAGAGCCAGGGTTCGCAGAAGGTTCGTGGGGTTCGCGGCGGGGTTCGCGGAACCCCTCCTGTACTCCTCCCTGCTCCCAGTTTTGGGCCCCCTTCGTGGCCCTTCGTGGCCCTTCCTTCGTGGCCCTCTCCCTCTCCACCCCCCCACCCCCGCACCCCCCACACCCACACCTTTGCACTCCGTCCCCCACCCCCCCCTCCCCCCCTCCCCCCACACACCCCCCATCCCCATGTTTGCTGACCAGCTGCGTGAGTGTCAACAACTTGTGATGCAGTGGCCATGATTGAAGTGTTTTCCAGGAAGTGCCGGTGTCAGTCACATCGAAGTCACCAGTGTCAGGTAGGTCTCTGCAGAGTCAGATATTGAATGGTCATTGACGGATTAAGGTGCAGCAGAGTCAGCATCTGAAGAACAAGAACCAGCGTGTGCAGCCCAGCTTTCGTTCAGCAGGGGATGGAGCTAGTTCCTTCCGAACAAAGGTTTAGGGTCCAGGTATACGTTTAGGCAGACTTTGTCCTGGTCACATGTTTCAGCCCATTTGGCTTCTGCTGCAGGTCCTGGCAACAACAGCATACGTGGCGCCAGGGTCAGGTGCCACTGCATCAGGGCACTTATTATTTGTGTTTGTTGGGAGCAAGGGCAAGTGTCAGGCGTCGTAGCTCATGAATACAGAACGGCGTGTGTCAGTTCAGGATTCATTTCTGCAGATCTCTATGTGTCAGTTGATTGTCTGCGGCAGGGAGGGATTAGAATAATTATGCACTTGTTTGGAAGTTGGGTATGATTTGATTTCAGTCGCCACAGCTTGCAGTGTGGGATTCATATTATGCAGGCAAGAGGCAAGAGTGTCAATCCTGCGATCTAAGATAGGTCAGTGCGTGCCTGTTGGGTACATGGTTTTGCTCAGCTTTTGGCTTGTCAAGCATCAAAGAGTCGCCAATGCCATTGGTTGCAGACCGAATTAATTATTCGCCCTGAAGAAAAGACACTTTTCGGCTTTTCAGTGTCAGTGTGTGGGAATTCCTGTACTTACTTGCAAGGGGTAGGATCACATCGCAGAGTCTAGGTTTTGACCTCTGCGCGTTTTAGCGTCAAGATGGAAAGGCCTCCAGATCCGCGCTTTTCACGTGACTTGTGCGAAAGTCTGAAGCACAATGATGACCACTTGCAGTTTACCAGTGGCCATGGCAGAGCCAGGCTGGAGAATGTGTTGACTGGGGAGTGTCACTGGCTTCAGGCGGCAGACAGCAGCTTCCACATCAGTGCTTCTGGGTGGGGCTATATTGTCAGCACCAACCAAGAGGGTCAGAGGGTCACCCAGTGGGCCAGCGAATTGTTGTCTTGGTCTGTGTGGAGAGTCAAGGATAGTGGGCGACTTTTTGCTTACAGGAAGGCAGCGGATGGTGTGCAGACAAGATGGATCAGTAGCTTTGCCGAAGACCGCAACATGTGTTATCCACCAGAGGGTCACGAGGTCCCACAGCTTGAAATACATGATAAGCATTGAGTTGAGCTAGATTGTTTATATTGGTCAGCGTTTTTTATTCGAAAAGAAAGCAAAGGATTGCTAAGCTAATCTCCCTTTACCAGGTGCTACGCAGCATCTTTGAGGGGAAGAAGCTCTTCCTCGTGAAGTACAATGTTCCTCTTCAGGGCCAGCGGTATTTCTGGAATTTGCATAGCCTCCACCCATCAAAGTCACATCAGGATGTCCTGAAGACTGCAAAACGGTCATGGCTGCAGATGTGTCAACACATATTCACAGATGTCAGCAAGTCTTTCTTGTGGCCTCAGCGATCCAAAGAGGGTCAAGCAGATGTTCAGCACAGCATGCACGAGGTCTGTGGCAATACGAGCGTCATGCTTCTCATCGCTCTGACATTAGCCACATCTGGCAAGAAGAACAGAGTCACAGGTCAGCAGTGGCTGCAGAGGATTGTGGACCAGTTTGCGTCAAATGGCATGTTGAGAGTCAAGCTGCCAACTGAAGGTGAACCCATCGTGGACGTGAGACTGCGCAATGGACAAGTGTCACTGGCAGAGGTTGCAGCGTCACTCAGTGGGCGCAAGTCCAACACGAGAGGGCTGCGACTGAGAAGTGAGCAAAGTGTCACGACGTTCCTTGCAGCCATCCGGTTGAAGTCAGAGTGGGCCTGGCTTCTGAAGAGTCTGTTGCTACAGCTGGCACTGCTGGTGGAACGGAATCTGGAAAGTGTCACCTTTGGTGAAGCTGAGGTGTCGATGGCTTATGGCTTTCACAGGGATCCCGTGCAGAGAGTCCTGAATGTTCGAATTGCCCAGCAGAAGGCGTGGCGCAGCAAGCGTAAGAAGCGAGACCAGAAGGCCAAACAGGCAGAGCGTCAGCCTGGCTTGAGCAAAGCAGCACGTGCAAAGGCGCGAGCTCGTGTAGCGTCAGTGCGTGAGATGGTCACCAGGAGAGACAAGCAGCGGGAACGGAGTCTTTACTTCCAGGAGTGTCAAGATCAGTTCCGCAATGCAAGGCAACTTTCTGTATCTTTCGATGCAAGCAGGGTCGGTGGCCGCAAGCTGACCAGCTTTGCCGTGGTGAACTTGCAGTCTGGATTGTCAGCATGGGCACCTTCCCAGGCCACGGCTTCAGAGTCAGAGAGTAAGGGGGTGCATCAAGTCCATTGTAACAGGGGATTGCACTTGCTAGCAGTCTTATCTTAGTCTTCCCTCCACACAATTCAATAATTCAGAAGGCAGTCAGACTTTGGACTTGCACGATTGCACAATTTTAGTAGGGATCATTGGTTGGGTATGGTATGCTTCACTGCCTAGCGTACAGTCAGAGGGTCGCTGGGGGAGCAGGAGGAAGAGGGTTGAGGAGGACTGAGGAGGACAGGAAGAGAGGGAGAGGGACAGGGAGAGCGAGAGGGAGGAGCGCAGAAACGGACTTGGCAACAGAGCCCCGGGAGAGAGAGAGAGAGACAGACAGACAGACAGAGACAGAGACAGAGCCATGGTGATGCCATCCCAAAATCAAATGCTACATCTGTAAGTCTTAGTCGTAAACCATAGCAAACAGAGCCAGGCAGTAGAAATGAAATTTCGACAGCAGAGACGCATAAATAAAGAACAAAGGAACAACAGTTTATTTATTATTATGCTTGACCTAAGCTGAAGTTTGAACAGGGGGGAACATGCAGCAAATGAACCGCCTTTCTGCAGGTGCACCAGGACTCAGCACACCGAGTGCCAGGAACAGAGCCAGCTCCCAATGAAGCAGCACTCCTGGACAAGGAGGTTGCTGACTTGCTCTGCAACCTGGATGGATTTCTTGCAGCAAGCCCTGTTATTTGATTAATTTTAGTGATCTGACATTTAAATTTATTAAAATCTGAGCACAATGCCTCAATGCATGCAACACCTGCTTACTGCAACCTTGGCATACCAATCGTCACTCCAATAGCGTCAGAAGCAGCAATCGACATATATAGTTTGCATAATTTGGGTCTTCAGATACTTGGTAATTATTGCAGCAAGCAAGCGTCATGTCAGCAGCAAGGCACAGA